TTGGATCTCCGCCCACAGCGCTGTCCACGACAGAGTTGCCCGTCTGGCACCGCGAGGAGGTAGGGGGTTGTTTTGCCGGACGAGCCTCCTCCACAGAGGCCGATCTTGACACCGCCGATGACTGGTACCAGCGGTGTCAAGATCGGCCTCTGTGGAGGAGGCTCGTGAAGGATGCTACTGGGCAGTTGGAGGCAGTCGCCCTCCAACAACAACGGAGGGCGGAGGAGCGACGCTCACAACAGCGAGCGGAGCGCCGGGTGGCTAAAGCACAGCAGGTTGGCACAGTAGGGGGCACAGGTGGTGCATCAGCCAGTCATCTCAGTCAGTCGACCCGTGGCACCTGGGTCTGCCCCGTGACCTCCTGCCAGCGGGCGTTCGACACTTCACGTGGCCTCGGGGTGCACATAGCCTGGCACAAGCGTCGTGGTGACGTCACCGCCACTAAGTGGCGAATGGCGGTTGTTGTTGTTGTTGTGTGTGTGTGCTGGAGGGTTGTGTGTGTGTTGGAGGGTTGTGTGTATGTGTGTGTGTTGGAGGGTTGTGTGTGTGTTGGAGGGATGTGTGTGTGTGTTGGAGAGTTGTGTGTGTGTTGGAGGGTTGTGTATGTGTTGGAGGGTTGTGTGTGTGTGTGTTGGAGGGTTGTGTGTGTTGGAGGGTTGTGTGTGTGTGTTGGCGGGTTGTGTGTGTGTGTGTGTGTTGGAGGATTGTGTGTGTGTTGGAGGGATGTGTGTGTGTGTGTGTGTGTTGGAGGGTTGTGTGTGTGTTGGAGGGATGTGTGTGTGTGTTGGAGAGTTGTGTGTGTGTTGGAGGGTTGTGTATGTGTTGGAGGGTTGTGTGTGTGTGTGTTGGAGGGTTGTGTGTGTTGGAGGGTTGTGTGTGTGTGTTGGCGGGTTGTGTGTGTGTTGGAGGATTGTGTGTGTGTTGGAGGGATGTGTGTGTGTGTGTGTGTTGGATGGTTGTGTGTGTGTGTTGGACGGTTGTGTGCGTGTGTGTGTGTGTTGGAGGGTTGTGTGCGTGTGTGTGTTGGAGGGTTGTGTGTGTGTGTGTTGGAGGGTTGTGTTTTAGAGGGTTGTGTGTGTGTGTGTTGGAGGGTTGTGTGTGTGTGTTGGAGGGTTGTGTGTGTGTGTTGGAGGGTTGTGTGTGTGTTGGACGGTTGTGTATGTGTGTTGGAGGGTTGTATGTGTGTGTTGGAGGGTTGTGTGTGTGTGTTGGAGGGTTGTGTGTGTGTTGGAGGGTTGTGTGTGTGTGTGTTGAAGGGTTGTGTGTGTGTTGGAGGGTTGTGTGTGTGTGTGTTGGAGGGTTGTGTGTGTGTGTTGGAGGGTTGTGTGTGTGTTGGACGGTTGTGTATGTGTGTTGGAGGGTTGTGTGTGTGTGTGTTGGAGGGTTGTGTGTGTGTTGGAGGGTTGTGTGTGTGTGTGTTGAAGGGTTGTGTGTGTGTGTTGGAGGGTTGTGTGTGTGTGTGTTGGAGGGTTGTGTGTGTGTGTGTTGGAGGGTTGTATGTGTGTATGTTGGAGGATTGTGTGTGTGTGTTGGAGGATTGTGTGTGTGTGTTGGAGGGTTGTATGTGTGTTGGAGGGTTGTGTGCGTGTGTTGGAGGGTTTTGTGTGTGTGTGTTGGAGGGTTGTGTGTGTGTGTTGGAGCGTTGTGTGTGTGTGTTGGAGGGTTGTGTGTGTGTGTTGGAGCGTTGTGTGTGTGTGTTGGAGGGTTGTGTGTGTGTTGGAGGGTTGTGTGTGTGTGTTGGAGGGTTGTGTGTGTGTGTGTTGGCGGGTTGTGTGTGTGTTGGCGGGTTGTGTGTGTGTGTTGGAGGATTGTGTGTGTGTTGGAGGGTTGTGTGTGTGTTGGAGGGTTGTGTGTGTTGCAGGGATGTGTGTGTGTGTTGGAGAGTTGTGTGTGTGTTGGATGGTTGTGTGTGTGTTGGATGGTTGTGTGTGTGTGTTTGAGGGTTGTGTGCGTGTGTTGGAGGGTTGTGTGCGTGTGTGTTCGAGGGTTGTGTGCGTGTGTGTGTTGTAGCGTTGTGTGCGTGTGCGTGTTGGAGGGTTGTGTGCGTGTGCATGTTGGAGGGTTGTGTGTGTGTTGGAGGGTTGCGTGTGTGTGTTGGAGGGTTGCGTGTGTGTGTTGGAGGGTTGCGTGTGTGTGTTGGAGGGTTGTGTATGTGTGTGTTGGAGGGTTGTGTGTGTGTGTGTTGGAGGGTTGTGTGTGTGTTGGAGGGTTGTTTGTGTTTGTTGGAGGGTTGTGTGTGTGTGTTGGAGAGTTGTGTGTGTGTGTTGGAGGGTTGTGTGTGTGTTGGAGGGTTGTGTGTGTGTGTTGGAGGGTTGTGTGTGGGTGTTGGAGGGTTGTGTGTGTGTGTTGGAGGGTTGTGTGTGTGTGTTGGAGGGTTGTGTGTGTGTTGGAGGGTTGTGTGTGTGTCTTGGAGGGTTGTGTGTGTGTTGGAGGGTTGTGTGTGTGTGTGTTGGAGGGTTGTGTGTGTGTGTGCTGGAGGGTTGTGTGTGTGTGTTGGAGGGTTGTGTGTGTGTTGGAGGGTTGTGTGTTTGTGTTGGAGGGTTGTGTGTGTGTGTTGGAGGGTTGTGTGTGTGTGTGTGTGTTGGAGGGTTGTGTGTGTGTGTGTGTGTTGGAGGGTTGTGTGCGTGTGTGTGTTGGAGGGTTGTGTGTGTGTGTGTTGGAGGGTTTTTTGTGTGTGTGTTGGAGGGTTGTGTGCGTGTGTTGGAGGGTTTTGTGTGTGTGTGTTGGAGGGTTGTGTGTGTGTTGGAGGGTTGTGTGTGTGTGTTGGAGGGTTGTGTGTGTGTGTTGGAGGGTTGTGTGTGTGTGTGTTGGCGGGTTGTGTGTGTGTTGGAGGATTGTGTGTGTGTTGGAGGGTTGTGTGTGTGTTGGAGGGTTGTGTGTGTGTTGGAGGGTTGTGTGTGTGTTGGAGGGTTGTGTGTGTTGGAGGGTTGTGTGTGTGTTGCAGGGATGTGTGTGTGTGTTGGAGAGTTGTGTGTGTGTTGGATGGTTGTGTGTGTGTTGGAGGGTTGTGTGCGTGTGTTGGACGGTTGTGTGTGTGTGTGTTCGAGGGTTGTGTGCGTGTGTGTGTTGTAGCGTTGTGTGCGTGTGTGTGTTGGAGGGTTGTGTGCGTGTGTGTGTTGGAGGGTTGTGTGTGTGTGTTGGAGGGTTGCGTGTGTGTGTTGGAGGGTTGTGTATGTGTGTGTTGGAGGGTTGTGTGTGTGTGTGTTGGAGGGTTGTGTGTGTGTTGGAGGGTTGTTTGTGTTTGTTGGAGGGTTGTGTGTGTGTGTTGGAGGGTTGTGTGTGTGTGTTGGAGAGTTGTGTGTGTGTGTGTTGGAGGGTTGTGTGTGTGTTGGAGGGTTGTGTGTGTGTGTTGGAGGGTTGTGTGTGTGTGTTGGAGGGTTGTGTGTGTGTGTTGGAGGGTTGTGTGTGTGTCTTGGAGGGTTGTGTGTGTGTTGGAGGGTTGTGTGTGTGTGTGTTGGAGGGTTGTGTGTGTGTGTGTTGGAGGGTTGTGTGTGTGTGTTGGAGGGTTGTGTGTGTGTTGGAGGGTTGTGTGTGTGTGTTGGAGGGTTGTGTGTGTGTGTTGGAGGGTTGTGTGTGTGTGTGTTGGAGGGTTGTGTGTGTGTGTGTTGGAGGGTTGTGTGCGTGTGTGTGTTGGAGGGTTGTGTGTGTGTGTTGGAGGGTTTTTTGTGTGTGTTGGATGGTTGTGTGTGTGTTGGAGGGTTGTGTGTGTGTGTGTGTTGGAGGATTGTGTGTATGTTGGAGGGTTGTGTATGTGTGTTGGAGGATTGTGTGTGGGTTGGAGGGTTGTGTGCGTGTGTTGGAGGGTTGTGTGTGTATGTGTGTGTTGGAGGATTGTGTGTGTGTTGGAGGGTTGTGTGTGTGTGTGTTGGAGGGTTGTGTGTGTGTGTTGGAGGGTTGTGTCTGTGTTTGTTGGAGGGTTTTTTGTGTGTGTTGGAGGGTTGTGTGTGTGTTGGAGGGTTGTGTGTGTGTGTGTTGGAGGATTGTGTGTGTGTTGGAGGATTGTGTGTGTGTTGGAGGGTTGTGTGTGTGTGTTGGAGGGTTGTGTGTGTGTTGGAGGATTGTGTGTGTGTGTGTGTTGCAGGGTTGTATGTGTGTTGGAGGGTTATGTGTGTGTCTTGCAGGGTTGTGTGTGTGTCTTGGAGGGTTGTGTGTGTTTTGGAGGGTTGTGTGTGTGTTGGAGGGTTGTGTGTGTGTTGGAGGGTTGTGTGTGTGTTGGAGGGTTGTGTGTGTGTGTTGGAGGGTTGTGTGTGTGTGTTGGAGGGTTGTGTGTGTGTGTTGGAGGGTTGTGTGCGTGTGTTGGAGGGTTGTGTGCGTGTGTGTGTTGGAGGGTTTTTTGTGTGTGTTGGAGGGTTGTGTGTGTGTGTTGGAGGGTTGTGTGTGTGTGTGTGTTGGAGGGTTTTTTGTGTGTGTTGGAGGGTTGTGTGTGTGTGTTGGAGGATTGTGTGTGTTGGAGGGTTGTGTGTGTGTGTTGGAGCGTTTTTTTGCGTGTGTTGGAGGGTTGTGTGTGTGTTGGATGGTTGTGTGTGTGTGTGTTGGAGGATTGTGTGTGTGTTGGAGGGTTGTGTCCGTGTGTTGGAGGGTTGTGTGTATATGTGTGTTGGAGGGTTGTGTATGTGTTGGAGGGTTGTGTGTGTGTGTGTTGGAGGGTTGTGTGTGTATGTGTGTTGGAGGGTTGTGTGTGTGTGTTGGAGGATTGTGTGTGTGTTGGAGGGTTGTGTGTGTGTGTTGGAGTGTTGTGTGTGTGTGTTGGAGGGTTGTGTGTGTATGTGTGTTGGAGGGTTGTGTGTGTGTGTGTTGGAGGGTTTTTTGTGTGTGTTGGAGGGTTGTGTGTGTATGTGTGTTGGAGGGTTGTGTGTGTGTGTGTTTGTTGGAGGGTTTTTTGTGTGTGTGTTGGAGGGTTGTGTGTGTGTGTGTTGGAGGGTTGTGTGTGTATGTGTGTGTTGGAGGGTTGTGTATGTGTTGGAGGCTTGTGTGTTGTAGGGTTGTCTGTTTGTCCACACCGGATCGGATTGTAGCTGGAGAAGGCGATGAGACCGCCGAACGCCAGCGACAGCGAGTAGAAGATCTGGGTGGAGGCATCCAGCCACACCTTGGGGTTCTTGAGAACCTCGAGCTGGGGATGGTGGCAGGGTGGTGGAGGATGTGGTGAGTGTCTGCTGTGGTCACTGGTGTAGAGACTAGTGCTTCTCAACCTTTGTTGGCAACTGAGTTACACCCCCACCCCTTGCCTGCTCCCACGTTTTTCTGACAAATACATGTTTTGAATTATGAACATCGATATTTTATATTCTTGGTTCTTTCGGTAAAGTCACTTAGAAGGGAAACAATAAAATAATAAAAACATAAAACAATAATTTTATTGTTTTATTTTTATATTTTTATTATTTTATTGTTTCCCTTCTATGTGACTTTACCAAAAGAACCAATAATATAAATCCCTGCAGTCACGAAAGCTTTAAATCGATATTTTAGACAATTGTTCATTTTGTGAGGTTATCCTAACTGGCTAGTAACTGCAAACGAATAAAACAAAATTCAACGGATGTTCTGCATGCGCGACGGAACGTTTTGGTGCTTGCTGGTTCTGCTGGTAGCCCACGTTGTTCACGATCGATATGTTGAGAAAGGTCTTTTGTCTCCTTCTAGGTTACCATGTGGATTTACATTTTATCGCAGTTATTTTGTATTAGCAGATTCACACATGATTATTCACCAATGACTCTCACGTATGGTAAGATTTCTCACATTTAAAAACCACCTCACGTGCCCTCAGGGACATTGCCACGTGCCCCGAGGGCCCCGCCTCGTACCCCCGGTTGAGAACCACTGGCGTCGTGGCTCACGTGATGCACTACGAACCTGACGACCCGAGGTCCATTCTCGCTCACAGCCACCAACACCTGTGACGAATAGATGTACCGGTCTTGGGCCTCTCCGTGGTCGACTCAACCTCAAATGATTACCCGGTGCGGTATATAAGCATCGCTACTAGAGAGACAAAGGCGGTCAGGCGTGGTGCTGAACCACTTACCCCCACGTGTACCGTTCTGGCCTTTATAGGTGCTCCCAAACAGCACTTGCCCTAACAGTGTTACAGGTTATACGGGGGATCTTTGACTTTGTGTTGAGTCACCAGTGAGTCTCACGTCCCTGTGAAGAGGTTGAGTCCTGAGGAAGTGGTGGTGAGTGTATGCAGTGTCAGGAGGATGAGGAGTTGCTGAGTAGGTGAGGTTGTGAAGAGGTGGGTAGGTCAGATGGTGGTGAAGAGGTAGTGAGGTGATAAGAAGGTGGTGAAGAGGAAGTGGCAGGTAGTGAGGAGGAGTTGATGAGGTGAGATGATGGTGAGGATGAGGTGAGGAGTCTCACGTCAGGAGTGAAGAGGTAGACAAGTCCGTCGGTTGCCCCCTCAAGCGTGAGTCCACGCACCAGAAAGATGAAGATGACGAGGTAGGGGAAGGTAGCGGTGACGTAGACGGCCTGGCACATCATAAGCATCGTCATCATCATCATCATTACGAACATCATCAACATCGTCATCGTCACAAACATCGTCATCATCAACATCGTCATTATCACGAACATCATCATCACGAGCATCATCTTTATCAACATGGTCATTATCACGGACATCAACATCGTCATCGTCACAAACATCATCATTATCATCGACATCGTCATCATCACCTCCCCATGCCCCCCCGCACCTTGCCCGAGGTCTCGATGCCCCGGATGGTGCATACGTAGACGATGGACCAGGCGGCCACGTGGCACAGCAGCACCCACCACTGGGGCACGCCGCTCTCCTCCACGCTGGGGCTGATGTTCAGTGTCTCGCGGTACCAGAAGTAGTCCACGGGGGAGCTGTCGGCGCACTCACTCACATACCCTGTGCCACACAACAACAACAACAACAACCACACTCAACAACCACACGAACATAAACAACCACACAACATACAACAACAAGCACAACAATCAAACATACAACAACCACACACTCAACAACCACACATACAACAACCACAACTACGCATACAACCACACAAACAACACAACAACCACGCACTCAACAACCACACCAAGCACACATTTGCCACTAAGTGGCGACGTCGCCTCAGCGCTTGTGCCAGGCTAAGTGCACTTTAAGGCCACGTGAAGTGTCGAAGACCCGCTGGCAGTAGGTCACAAGACAGGGTTGACTTACTGAGATGACTGGCCAATGCACCACCTGTGCTCCCCACTGTGCCAACTTGCTGCGTTTTATCCACCCGGCGCTCCGCTCGTCGTTGTGAGCGGCGCTCTGCTCGTCGTTGTGAGCGGCGCCCCCCTGCCCTCTGTTGTTGCTGGAGGGCGACTGCCTCAAACTTCCAAGCAGCAGCTGCTGGTATCGGTCATTGGCAAATCCACTCAGCTCCACATCCTCTTATACCGCATCAATCCATCTCTTCTCCAGCCCATGCCGTGCCCGTTTAGCCCGCTCTATGCGGCCAAACAGAAGCTGCTTGGGCATGTGGTGGCTGGGCATGCAGGCTACATGACCCAACCAAGGCAGCCTTGCCTACCGAAGGAGCTCACTGATGATGGGCCTGTGTCCAGATTTTCCCAGGATCTGAGCGCCTCACACAATCCAGCCTGATTAAACCCATCATGGGCAGCAGGCCAGCCTGAATGTTTCAAACCGGCACAGATGTTACTTGAAAGGACTCCAGAATAGAGAAAGTAGGACATAACGGCACCTTGACTGATTGGAGTGAGACCTCCGCTGCAAAACTGGAGCTGGTCGTAAGCACATTGCCCAGGCAACTCCTCCACTCACACAGAGGCAAATAAAAAGATCCTCTCTATAACCTTAACAATTGGGGCATGTGCTGTTAGTGAGAACTTATGTAGTGTACTAATTCACAGACACTAGTAGGATGTACTTTCTCTCTTTTATTCCGGCCTTCACAGCCTTTAGGAGATAACCACCCACCGGATCGGGACATCCAAGAGATTGCTCCGTGCGTTGCCCACAGGTGCAACTGGTAAAACGAGCTGTTACCCCTAATTCTAATGTCTACCAATCTCCCAGTGACTCATCCCACGTCACTACATCACCTCCCCCCCCCCCCTCCCCCCCCCCCCGTGAAAAAAAACCCAGCCGTCCCGGCTGACCTCCATACGTCACGCGGCGGGACGACGAACACCGCAATATCCACACAACACTTCAAAATGCATGGCAACATACCAGCCCCCAAAATAACAGTGACCCAATGACGAGTAGGGGCGGTCATCTGAACCGAACCATCTTGAAATGGGTCCTTGTCGCTGGTCCATCGTATGGACCCAGCACAGGTCCCCGAGGGACCTCGGGGGTGAATCGCAGCTGGCCCAATGGGCGCGGTTCCCCCCCCGGGACAAAGATGGAGGAGAGGAAGAAGCGGGTAGCGGTTGTACTGTCCACCCCGGCCCGCCTATGGGCGGCACCACCAGTGGTTCCATGGGCGTCACGCCCTGGGATCCTGCGGATGGAGGAGTCTCGCAGAGGCGCAACCTCCGTAATCGTACGTCCGCCCCCGTCGGACACATCACACACTTGGCTATCAGATGGTGGAGATGAATTTCCCTTATAAGGTGGAAAATATGGTTTTAGTCGTGACGGGTGCACATACCAACGCCTGCGACCAACCTGGATCCATACACCCTGCGGCATCCTAACCTCAATTACCTCCACTGGGCGCTGCCATGGCCTATGTAATTTAGGAGATGCCCATGGGCACCTGGGGGCAATGCAGCCATGCCCTCTCCCCAGGTTTCCACGATTTCCAATTCCTTAAGCCTGACCAATTTCTCATTTGCAGCCTGCCATTTGGCCGAATTTCCCCGGTACGCCTCCCGTGCTTCCATCACCCGCTTTAGGGTGAGGCTCATCAGTCCCAGCACAGCGACTCTCTTTTTGCTTCTCTCATTATTTAACTGGGCTTCCATGGGGGGGGGGGGGGGTCGCATTCTCTCCAGTACATAAAACAATGGGGAGAATACGCTAGAGGCATGAGGGGCCATCCTATAGGCCGCAAGAACTCCCAGAACATGTAGTTCCCAATCGGACTGTGCCTCATTGACTTGTTGACACAACATGGACATAAGTGTGCTATGTAAACGCTCTACCATCCCGTCAGTCTGGGGATGGTAGGGCGAGGTTCAACAAATCATATACCTCTTGCAATAGCTTTGAAGAAGAATTTCGGCCCTGGTCCGTAAGGAGACATTCCAAGGCCCCCTTATCTAATACATCACCATGCAGTAATGCGGCCGTAATGGACACCGCCGACTGATCCGGTAGAGGCCATGCCACTGGCCACCGTAATAGGTACTCTACCCCTACCAGCAATAATTTATTTACCCTCGGAGTGGTAGGACATGGCTCAAAGATGTCGAGGGCCATGAGCTCGTTTACACGAGACACCCAAATGCACTGCAGCGGTGGCTGGGTCAGTCTTGGTGGGGACTTCCGGCAGGCACATTCTACACAATCCTTGAGCACGTTGTGAACGTCCTCTGCCATCCTGGGCCAAAATAAGTGCTGCTTCAAAGTAGCCAACGTATTATCCACCCCTAGGTGCATCAATCGCACATGGGCAGCTCTGGCCACTCTACTCCACAGAGCAGTTGGCACCACGATACAGTACCACTGTACCTCCGTATCCCAGCGCATAAGGAGTCCCTTCCTATTGCTTGGTGCATCAACACAGCGCTGCAACTTTAGTAAGGAGGCATCCTCCGCCTGGGGGGCACCCCCATTCCTCATACGCAAGACCAATAGTATTATCACGCGCAATCCTCGGTGCGGGTGGCGAAGCTTCCACCGATGCTACTATGGCACCCGGCTCCCTTGCATCCACCTGCTTACAACGGCCGGCGCCCATCAAACATATGCACCGGCTCTTCAGCGATAACCGTGACCGAGCGTCCGCATTGCAGTGGCGTAACCCTTTCCTATAGATGACTTTGAATGAATAATCTTGCAAGATTTCCAATCATGGCAAGAGTTGCACATATGGCTGGTCAACGCGTAGTGCGTATTGCAAAGCCGCGTGATCTGTGCGCACCATAAACTGCCTACTGTAGAGGTACGGGTGGTACTGTTGTACAAAGTGCACGATAGCCAACAACTCGCGGCGCATAACATAATAGTGCTGCTCGGCGGGGGACAGCACCCGTAAGTGACCACGCTCTCCATCCCATTAACCACCTGTGACAACACAGTGCTGATCCCGGTATAACTGGCGTCCGTATCCAACGTAAACGGCAAGGAGAAATCAGAATATCGAAGGGGGGGGGGGTGCATTCATGAGACCGTCGCGCAGCATAACAAATGGGGCTTCCTCCTCCATCCCCCACCAAAACCTCTGGCTCTTTGCCGTGAGAGCATGGAGCGGCTTCGCGATTGTCACAAACCCGGGCATGAAGCGGCGGTAATACGACACGAACCCCACAAAACTGCGGACCTCACCCACCGACGTGGGGGTTGGCCATTTACGCACGCACGCAGTCTTGTCAGGGTCCGTGGTGATCCCGGACTCGCTAACAATGTGCCCCAGGTATCAAACCGATTTTTGCAAGAGGTAACATTTCTGCGGCTTTAATTTCAAACTAGCCACCCGCATTTTAACAAATATCACACACAACTGTTGCAGATGTTCCTGGAACGTGCGGCCAAAGATAATTACGTCATCCAAATAGATCAGACATGACTCTCATTGCAGCCCCGACAGTACCAACTCTATAAGTCGCTGAAACGTGGCCGGAGCCATAGGAAGCCCCATCGATAGCACGTTAAATTGAAACAGCCTTTGCGGTGTCCAGAATGCGGTTTTGGGTTTTGAACTTTCATCCAGGGGCAACTGCCAAAACCCTGACAATCGATCCAGGGTGGAGAAAAACCGTGTCCCCGACAGGGCATCCAATGAATTGTCCATCGTTAGGAGCGGATACACGTCCGCCACGAAGACCTTATTCAATTTACGAAAGTCCACACAGAACCGCAAACTCTCGTCCTTTTTAACCAGGACAATGGGAGCACCCCACGGACTGGTCGAGATTATATCGGCGGTCAACATCTCGTTGACCGCCTGACAAACGTAGTCCTTTTCTTTTGTACTAAACTGAAATGAGTTCTGGTAAATGGAAGCGGCGCCACCCATATCAATATGGTGATGCATCAGGGACATGTGGCCCACTGCAACTCTCCCCTCTGCTCCCATGACAAATCCGGATTACCCATGAAAAACGGATCCATCCACGAGTCATCCAACACCGCTTCCCGTTCAACCGTGGCCATGACCCGAGTGGCCACATTATCCGGATCCTCACAACACGCAGCCGTCGCATGGGCCAACACTGTACCAGCCTGTATGACCGCAATATCAAGCGCAGCATTTAATACTTGCAGGAAGGGCTCCTGATCCCCCTTCACTATTGTCTGAGCCCCTATCAAAGTGAGCCCACGAACTGCTCTATTCGAAGGGGTTAAGAGAACCCCACCCTGGTCAACTAAAATCCTTTAAAAAAAAAAACATCCCCAATAAACAAGGCACCGCCAATGAACATGAAACCAACACCGGGCCCATCCTTTCAATATTGCCAATCCGTATCGATGCCTTAATTTGACCCGCAATGCCTAAACTCCCGCCATTAGCGGCAACACACGGATTATCTACCAGACTAAGGCAACCCGCCGTCGACGGCAGAGTCCTAAAAATAAACTCAAAAACCAAGGTGGCGACTCCTCCGTGTCTATGAGCATCCGCACCACAACACCCTGCACAAATGCACCTACCGTGGATGATCCCGCTCCCGCTGCCATGCCAGTGCGGTCCATTGCCCGGACCCCGCGGCCAACAATCA